CCGGCCGTTTCGATTCGTCGGACCGCTCCAGCTGGTACGTGGGCCCCGTGTCGCGGGCGGAGGCGCAGACCAGGTTGCAAGGGCGGCGGCATGGCATGTTCCTGGTGCGGGACTCGTCCACCTGCCCGGGGGACTACGTGCTCTCGGTGTCCGAGAACTCCCGCGTTTCCCACTACATCATCAACTCCCTGCCCAACCGCCGCTTTAAGATCGGCGACCAGGAGTTCGAGCACCTGCCCGCCCTGCTGGAGTTCTACAAGATCCACTACCTGGACACCACCACCCTCATCGAGCCTGCGCCCAGGTGAGTGCCACCGCCCCTCGCCCCACCCACTGCCATCCTCGCTAGAGGTGGTGCAAGGACAGGGTGTCACAGCCTGGCAGCTCCAGGGTCCTGGCACTGCACGTGTATGCTAGGGAAACACTCCTTTCCAACTGGGCCGCCTTAACGCTCTGGATCTTTCTGATGGTTACGGGGTGCTCGTCCTGTAAAATCATCCCCATACCACACGGGCCCTGCCCTTACCCTGCGTGTGTAAAGGCACCTCTGTACCGCTGGCTGTAATTGCCTTGCAGGAGGGTGTGGTCGTGCCAGAGCACATCACCCCTTTTGTCTAACCCTTTGCTTCTGGTATTGTCTTTCTCTTCCAAGGAAGATGGAGAAGCTACTTCACCAGTCTTGATGATTGAAGTACAGCCCCTGAACTTAATTTGCTGTCTGCCCCTGCACCCACACTGAGTACAATAGAACAGGCTTTTATGTCATTAGACTGCTCCACTATGTTAAGTCAGCATTAATACATTCTAGGACAGCATTTCCCTAACTTCTAGAGTGACATTCCCGCACCCAAAAACGTGAATCATTTATTTCTCACAGTATGGTTATGGCACGGTTCATCTGTGTCTGCACTCACTGAGAAGTGCTGTTATAGGAGAATGGGAAAATGTGACTTGGCTATGAGCTCATTCTTTGTCCTCTTCCCAGCATGGGACATACCTGCAACCTGCATCAGTAAACTGCTTGTCAAGAACCCTAGAACATATTCCTTATATTCAATTAATAAAGCCTTTCTCGGTATCCTATTTCAAAGCTTTTGGGCTTCCTGGATAGAATGAAGTGGGATAAAAGCTAGAAAAGTAGTGACATTGAAAAAAAGAAATTTAAATTGATTCAGGTCTAAATTCTGCAGTTGAACATCTTACTGTGTTTTGCAGATAAGCCAGTTCTGTGCGGGGGAAGAATAACTTTGAGGTTTACAATCACAATTTAGCCTGGGCATAGAGCAGTATTTAATGACAATCACTACCTTGTCAAAGGTTGACAATTGCTTGTCAAGCTGAAATACTCAAGTGGTCAGAAGTCTTTCTGGAAAGCTGTCAGATGATGGGTGGGATGTGACAGAGCAGTAGCTTCAAGAACTCTGCAAGTTGCTGACAAGGTTTCTGGGCAGAGATTGTGGCTGGGGGGGGGGGGAAAAAAAAAA